GGGAAAGAGGATTTCAAGATCTAGCAAAAGCATGCTGGTTTTCAAGATCCAGATCTCAAGAGTTGGGTGTAGTTGGCTGGTCCTGACTTATCTGTGGCATTTAACAGTAGTTTGAATTTCAGCTGGTGTTGCCTGGAAGGGGTATAGAGCATCCGTTTCTGGCCACTAATGGCTCAGGTTACGAATAGCTATGTACTGTAGCAACTGAAATCTACTAGGAACAGACTTGGTCTCTGTATGGAATAATTTGTAGGTTCTTTAGAGTGTTAGGTTAGTTCCTCTTTTCTATTTACAGTTGCTTATTCAGGTATTCTGATGTTTTCACCCCAAAGAATGGGTTCAGTGCCTCTAAAAATCATATAGAAATGAAGGACCTGGACAAATTCTCTCCAGTATTAAATTACCTTGGCAATGGTGGAGGGGAGTCCAGCCACTAATTTTGAAACACTTTCTCATAGTTTTGCCACAAAAAGGAGTTGCTAGACTGGCTTCAGAAATGTTTGTGGTAAAAAGTGGTGATCGATAAGGAAGGAGGATGTAGCAGCTAGTCTTTTACAATGTGGTGCTCCCGTTTAAGATACTTGAGAGCCCTGACTTAATCGCTAATGCCTATAATGATACTATGATATACTGTTGTTTTATAGTTTTGTTGGAAGCTATTATGAAGAATGGAAGTACTGCTGGGGGAGGCGCTTACTGCCGAAAACCAGCCAGTAGCAATGATCAAAGTAAGCCCAATAGCACGAAGGAGAGCAATGCATCTGCTGCAGGTGAAAGTGGAAAAGGCTACACCAAAGACCAAATGGAAGGAGTATGCAGGTATGGCCTTGCTTAAATACATCACTGCTTTTCATTTTGTGTATCATGTACTTATGCTTTCAGCTCTAGCATCTAAAGAAGCAACAGAAAATTCAAGGTTAGCTGGGAGGGGTTACTTGTACTGAACTGTGACTAGAAGGAGGAGGAGAGTTTTGCCATGTTTAAACACAGTATGAGACATTGTCTCTTTCGGCGAGAAAGACGATGCTTATCTTTATATAAAGTAACCTTGATGGTTTAAAAAGAAAATACTCAGAATAGTTATTAAGTAGATCTCATGTTAAATGGAAGAAGTGATGAAAATTCTATAGTACAACTTGTAGGACAGTGTTTCTATCCTTAAATATATTTATACTCCTGATATCTAAGTTTACATTACGTGCTCTCTCCTCAAGTTTATTTTTAAGCTAATCTTGCTGTACAGGATGGACTTAGACAAGTGTTAAAACTATTTCGTTCTGGAAGTACAGGTGTCTGAGAAGTACTGAAGCACACAGTCTTAAGTTGCATTATAAACTCTGGACTTGGTGCAGCATGATAGTATTAAGATGGGGTGACATCAGGAAAGGAGGGTGTGCAAAAAGAAACAAAGATCAATAAAAATGTCCTTTTGAGGCTAGTAACTCTTAAGTTGTGTTATCATTACACACTTTTTGGCTGTAGGAGTGCGTTGTGGTTTAACTCCATCCGGTAAGTAAGCACCACATGGCCACTCACTCACCTCCCGCCCTCCCCCCCTCCAGGAGGATGGGGAGGAGAATAGAAAAAAAAAAATGGTGGGTTGAGATAAAGACAGTTTAATAGGATAACAAAGGAAGAGAATAATAATTATTGTATATACATAAAACAAGTGATGCATAAATGCAATTGCTCACCACTCACAGAAAAAAACAACACGATGCCCAGTCTGTTTCCGAGCAGGGATCCTGCCTCCCGGCCAGCTTCCCCAGTCATATCCAGAGCATGACGTTCCATGGCAGGGAATATCCCTTTGGCCAGCCTGGGCCAGCTGTCCTGGCTGTGCTCTCCCAGCTTCTTCTGCACCTGGCAGGGCGTGGGAAGCTGAAAAATCCTTGACTTAGTGTAGACACGACAACTACCTAGCAACAACTAAAACATCAGTGTGTTATCAACATTATTCTCATACTAAATCCAAAGCATAGAACTGTGCAAGCTACTAGAAGGAAAATTAACTTTATCCCAGCTGAAACCAGGACAGAGTGAGAAAAATATTGTTTGGTATGTGTCCTGATTTCTGCTAAAGAAATATGGATACAGCCACTCTAAAATTGCACACCTTAACCCACCTATATTTTCAGATAAGCCTAGCCCAAGTATTTTCAAGGGAGTTCAAAGAAGGGAAGTCAAGAGGTCCTTGTCTCCTAGTTTGTGTAGATTGGATGAACTGTTGTGCAAAACAGAAATTTGTGTGTGATTTTTTTTGTATGCTGCTGTTGATATTATCTTGGGATCTTTTCCTGAAGTTCAATAATCTGTTCAGCTGTGATAACAGTGAGGAAAAAGCAGCTTTTCTCTGTTGATACAGCAGCTCTGCATTCAGGAAGGTAGGCAGCAGCATCTCTGGCATGGTTATCATCTTGGTGGTGTTATTTAGTAGAGCTTTTCATTTACCACCATCTCTGCTTAATGTATGTTATTGCCCTTCATGATACATCTAAAGTAAAACCTGAATAAGTGTGTACATTTTTAGCCACCTTGAAATATTAGCTGTTAAAATGAACGCAAAATGCGTGTGTGTGCGCGCACACACGTGTGAGACAAAATATCCAGAAAGAAGTCCTCTGTAAAACAAGGCTTAGATCAAAAAAAGAGATGTAACATATTCTCAGAAAGCTGCTACAAGGAAGGCTGTATTACTGCCAGTATTCACTCACCCGTGACATGCCATTCTGAGCTGCAGTCTGCTTTGACATCAGGCTCCCTGCAAGTTCTTTTTTTGTTTGTTTTACCAGAAGGTAATGTTGCCTACTTTTTCTTGAGTAAAATGATGTTGTAGAGCTAACTTTTCTCCATGGTATGTTTTCGTGATATTTGGTATTGCTTCCTTGAAGGTATTCACTAGAGAGCAGATAAAAATAATCCAGTTTGTTGAGAACTAGTTAGGGGTATTCACAGAAGTTGTACATTGAGTATAATCTTGACGTGACATTGCTTCTTAGCACCTATTTCAACAATCTGCTTTGTGAATATAAAATTTGTGTTTTAAAAAAAGTACCCACATTTTTGCAAATAAGCAGTTGTAATAGCTTGCAGAACAACCCATGTTTATTTGTGTTTTGCATATCACTTAGAAAATCAGCTGAAAATCACCAGTATCTTGACCTTAGCTTAGGTGATGCATCCTTTAGTATAGCAGTTTATAAACCTTTTAGTATAGCAGTTTATAAACCTTTGGAGAGAGACTGAATTTTGGTTTAGATGTGCAATAATTAACAGGGCAAGTCCCCAGTTCTTTTTGAAAAGTTTGTCGTGTTGTCAGTTAGTGACATCAACACACCACTTAGAAAATTTGTGGTTAAGAATTAAAAAATGTGCGCCTTGCCAAGGACAACAGGATTAAATACAAACAGTGGGCTAAAACATAATGGTAAAATATAACACATTCAGTGATGATAGCTGAGGGAAAGTTCATGTTTAAACCACAGTGAGAATGAGCTTTCTAGTTGGAAACATGACAGGCTGCATTGCTTCAGTCAGGCCTCAGACTTTTCCAATTAAATGAAACGCACCCCTCTGGGGAGGGTATTCTTCAGAGAGTAGAGCTTGTCACCACCATATGCTTCTGCCATACCACAGTGGAATGGTTTTTGGACGTTTGGTTAAAGAAATGCTGTGTGAAAAGAGGTGGTTTTAAATAGTGCTTCATGCCTGATTTTTAGGGGTTTTTTTCCTATAAGGAAAGAAATTTCTACATAGCAAGGTAGCAAAATCTTCAATTTTTAATAAGTTCTGAATCTCGACATGAATTTGACTCTGTTAAACTAAGTTGGTTTGTATGCTTATGATTTGAAAGGTGTTCATTATCCTCAAGTATTCTTCCCCCAGGAGTTTCTGGTTGTGTATTAGTAATTGAATATAGCCTGAGAGAAAGCATTCCCGATTTAACTACACCTGCCATTTCCAACCCTTTTTTTATAAATTCGGGCAGGGGACTTGACTCTGAGCTCTCTGACTTGGATCACTGATGAGTGTTCCCGGAGTTGTCCAGCTACCTTGAACTTCCTGTGACAACAGATTTAAGAAGCATAGTGAAGACACACTTGGAGCAGTGTAACTAATTTAACTGCATTAATTTTCATCAGGGTTACTCTAGTAATGTGGGTACGTATGAGTACAAACAAGCACCTCTGTGATGTTTTTATTTTTCCCACATACACAGGGGACACTGATTGCCAGCAAGCTACCATAACACTTCTATAGAGCATTACATGAGCTTGCAAACAAGTTGCTCAACAGGGAGAAGCATAAGATGCAATATCTTTCCACTAATTGCATAAGTGCTGGGTGATGCTCTGTTCTTTGTGGGAACAGTGATGAGTATTTCAGTGTGACAGTTTGAAGCTTGAAAAAGCACTTTGTTACTTTTGAAATGAAATGCTTTGAAAATAGCATCTGTAGTACAAGACTCTTGTTCTGAATGGTGTTTATCTTGTCACTGAGAGCTGGATCAAGTTGCCTTAACACTTTAGGTAACCCGCATATCGGAGATATTGACCAGAGATTAGCAGAAATATGTTAGGACCCACAGTAAACTTACATCGTTTTAGAGCAAGTGCCCTGGAAGTCCCTAGGCAATTGAAAGCTGTCTGAGTAATGTCAGCTTAAGAAAAGTGTATGAGAATTGTGTGCACAACAAAAAAGGGAGAATTTGCTTTTGGATTGGTGGGTTTTGGCATTTTTTTGCTGAGATAAAGAAATGAAACATTTGTGTGAGAAAATTTAAACTTTTTTTCTTCTAGTTTGCTTAAAACAATTGAAGAAGTGCTGATCAGGATTACGGTTATCAAAGAGTTCTTAATTACTTTCGAAAGAATTCTGTTCATCGTATTTGCCTACTAAGAATGTGCAGATCCTGTGGAAAGGTTCCATGTACTAGAATGAAATTTTAAAAAAGATCACTTGCCTGCTGTGTATTAATCTTTCCCATTTCTTTTTATACTGTGTAGTGTGTATTATCTGTTGTCTACTACATGATTTAAAAAAATCAGTTTCAGAGATACAGATAGGTCGTACACTCTATACATACTCCCTTTAAATGATCTTAACATTCATATGGTGTCTGATGTCTCTTTTTTTTAGTAAATAAGCCATAGCATATATTCCATATTACCTTTTTGACATGTGGAAGATAACTGCCATGATTAGTAGTATGCTAATGTCGGATTGCTGTCTTGTGAAAACTGTGGTAGAGTACTGCTTTTCCTGCCCTGCCAGTGCCTGCCCCTCAGAAGAGAGCACAGGAATGAAATTTTGTATTTGGATCTTTGAGCTAGAACCAAACCAAGCCAACAGAGGCCTTAGTTCTGTAGGAACCTTGCAAAGCAGGATTAAATGTCATCCAGTAGTGGTCAAGAATAATCAGCAACTTGATCTGAATTCATGGAATAAACAAAAAAAATTGCATCTACACATTTCATGGTTCAAACTAGAAGGAATGTAAGTTCTGTGACTGACTTTTTCCAGGCCTTCTGCTGAGACTTCTATGAATTCAGCAAAAAGAGATATATCATTACTTTTTTAACATGGGGTCAAGAAGACAATTAACTGAACGTGGAATAATAAGAGCAATCAACATGTGCTAAAATGGAGAGAAAAAAAAAAACCCAAAGCAAAGAAATCAGGGCATGCCTTTAATTAGACTGCTAGAACTACTGTGAATTGTTGAAATATCCAGTTGAGTGGTTGAGAAAGTCAAGGTGGAAATCACAGTCAGAGCCTGTCATGGAAAAGTGACACAGAAGATATGGTGGGCTTTGTCA